GTTAGGCTCATATATTTTGGTATTAATTCGGTTTTGAGTAGCACCCAATCATCATTCCTATATGAAATATCAAAAAAAAAAAGTTTTGATAAGATATGTTAGGGGCTATGAAAAAGTTTTGAATTAAAAAATCGGTTCGGTTTGGTTCGATTTGGAGTACAAGTATTTGGCCTAGCCCTAGGTGTAGTTAGTAGCTAAACAAGATATTATATAAGATATTGGCATTAATAATATCAAAAAAAATTATAATTAGCAATCTAACCAAAAACTCTCAATATGGCAAAATCATAGCAATTCTAGGATTTTTGGTTAGATAGCCAATTATAATTTTTTTTATTATTACATAAACTAACGCATGTTATCCTCTATATATTAATTGAGGAGACACTAAAGAGAAAATCATATGTATCACTCAAAAAGTAATTCAATGGACACCTCATTTAAATTAACCAATCATAATATTTCAGTAACGCCCACGAACCAAATTGAGAATTTGGTGCATGCGTCGATCGACACAAGGGGTGTGTCGATCGATGCAAGGTTAAATTGAACCGACAGGTTCGGTTTGCGAGCATCGGAATTGCGGTTCAGTTTGGGAAGAACCAAGGGTTCGACTATAAATAATCGTGCAGCCGCAGAGTGTTACGTTTTTGAGAGAAAAACATAGAGAAATTGAGAGGATTGAGAGAGAACATGAATCATTGTTGATCTCCTTGTGTTTTTGATCCAGAAAGTTCGTTATTACGATTTGTGAGGCTTTAGAATCGAATCGAGAGCGTGATCTTCATGGGGAAGGAAGGAATTTCGGATTGCTAGGTCTGATTTGTCGTGTTCTTCGTGTTCTTCGCGTTCTTCGTAATTTGTAACCTTTTTCCTTTCCGATATCGAGGTGAGTGCGTGACCATGGCTTATCTGGGTAAAGAGAATGTTATAATGCATTTGATTGATGTTGAATCGATGTGATGATGATTGATTGTAAGTTTTGGATGATTTTCGTGTCTGTGGTGACGTTTTTGGTGCAAAAAATCGCTACATCGGATTTTAGAAACGAGTCATGAGAGTATAGGCTCGTGTTCCTCGGTTATATGACGTGCATCGATCAACACAGGTGATGTGTGTTGATTGACGCAAGGGCTCGTGTCGACACCACGGTGGCGTGTCGATCGATGCAGCCTGTTAATTCGCGAT